AGATGCATAAGCCATCTAATATGACGGATCATATTTTTCTGAGAACTAGGCACAACCCATTATTGGTAAGTGTTAAAACTCTAGCATGGTGTTGATACGAAATAAATGTTTAAGACAAAAACAACAAGCCGTTATTTCCTCTTATTAAGAATTATAGAAAGTAGCAATGTCTTGCTAGTTTGTTGATAGAAAGATGACTCTGTGTTATGTTTTCACTCCCCTATAATAGATAGGTAGGACCAATTTCATCCAGAATACTCTGGTACTTCCAAAATGGCCAAAAGGCTTAATTTGTTTTTCACAAAAAGTACATTTTTACTTGTACATGCACTCATGTGTACCCAACATATTATGATTTAGCCCAAAAGTCATAAATTGATTACTTATGAGTATATTTGAATGGGCTTGGGCAAACTGGCAGGTAGGGCCTTGGCATGCTAGCTAGCAAGGCCTAAGCACGATGGCATGCAATTCCTTGGCATGCTAACAAGCATGATTAAGGCACACTAACAAGAAAGGATAAGGAACATCTAAATGTTCTTTAGAATCTAATAATAGAAGGCACAAGCAACAAGTCACTTCACTTATTCACAGATTCTTTTTATTTTATATGAATCAAGATGTAGATGGGTCATCTAATATGAAGCAACGTACTTTAGATGCTAAATATGTCCGATGAGGCAAAATTGCCTCTCCATCATATTCAAGCTAGGAACTAGATACAACCAATTAAAGGTTAGTGTTATGTCTCTCGCATGGTGTTGATGAAAAATTAGATTTCACATCCAAAGAACAGGCCTTTATATGCTCTTGTAAAGAATTATAGCATAATAGATATTTCTTATATGTCCGATGAGACAAAATTGCCTCTCCATCATATTCAAGCTTCACTTTGTTAGTTAGACAAGACATAGTACATCAAGAATATCTTGGTAGTTCAAAAATGGCCAAAACGCTTATATTTTTTTCCATAAAAACCATATTTTTTTCTAGTATATAACCCCACTAATTCCCAGCATGCCATCTTGAAACCTAAAAATCTTAAATGGTGTACTTATAAGTACATTTTCTAGTGGATATTGGTAGGTATATGCACTAGGCACACTAACACCTAGGGCCTTGGAGACCTGGCAGAGATGTCCTAGGTATGCTAGCAGCCAGGGTATGGGCATGTTGGTAGCAAGTTCCTAGGTATGCTGGCAGGCAGGGCTATGTCATACTGGCAGCCAGGTCATTGTCATGCTAGTAGGCTAGGCTTTGGAAACTTAACTGGCATGGATTGGCTTACTGGCTGGCAATGTTTGAGCCACTACCAGGCAAGTCCTAGGCATGGTGGCAGGTATAGCCTTGGCAACCAGGTATGTAGAGCATCAGCATGCTCTCAGCTAAAGCTTAAGCAATATGCCATGTCCTGGACATCCTGGTAGGTAGGACCTACGGATACTGGCAGGCATGGCATGGGCATGCTTGCAGCCTAGGCCTTGGCACACCAGGAATCAAGTCCTAGGCACACTGGTATGTAGGATCTGATCACGTTAGTAACCATGACATAGGCACACTAGTAGGCAAGGCCTAAGCATGCTGGATGGTAGAGGGTATAGGCTACCTAGTTGGCACTGCTTAGATAACTAGCAAGCAAGGCTTGGCCTTACTAGCATCTAGGGCTTGACACACTAGCAAGTAGGGCCTAGTCATTTGGACAACTAAGGTCTCTTGATGTTTGCAAGTAGGGCTAAGGCACAGGGCCAAGAACATGCTGTCTTTGAGGCATAATTTAGATGTGTAACTTGGCACATCTAATTATTCTTGAACAACCAACAATAAAAGGAAAAAGCAACATGTTGGTTCATTTAATCATGGATACATTTTATCGTGTGTGAATCAAGATGAATAAGCCATCTAATATGAAGCAACATATTGTTTTAAGAACTTGGCACAACCCATCAAAGGCATGTGTTAGATTTCTCACATGGTGTTTATAAGAAACAAATGTTTCAGATCAAAATAATAATTCTTTATGTTCTCTCATTAAGAATTATAACAAAATAGCAATGTCCTGTAAGTTTGTTGATAGAAAAATGACTTCGTATCATGTTTGGGCTCCCGTTTAATAGACAGGCAGGGCCTACTTTGTCTAGAATGTTCTATTAGTTAAACAATTGCTAAAAAGCTTAATTCTTTTCTACAAAAAATACATTTTTACTTGTACATATACCCATATGTACCCATTTTGCTATCGTGATGCCTAAAAGTCTTACATTGAGTACTTATGAGTACATTTGAATGGGCTTGGGCACACATGTAGGTAAGGCCTGGGCACACTAGCAGGCAAGGCCTGGGCACGCTGGCTGGTACGGCCAAAGCATGATGGCAAGCAAATCCTTAGCACGTTGTCAAGCATGTCTAAGGCACACTAATAATCAAGGATAAGACACATCTATATATTCTTTAGAATCTAGCTATCAAAAGCACAAGTACAAAGTCGCTTCTCTTATTCATAGATTCATTTTATTTTATATGCATCAAGATGAATGAGAGTCGTTTAATAAGAAACATCATACTATGCTTAGAACTAGGCACAACCAATCAAAAATAAGTAATATATCTCTCACATGGTATCGACAAGAAATAAGATTTCACATCCAAACAATAAGCCTTTATATGTTATTGTTAAGAATTAAAGTAAGATAGCCTTGTCCCATATGTTCGAAGAGGGAAAAATTCCCTTGCCTCATATTCAATCTTCCCTCCATTAGAAAGTTAGAACATAATACATCTAGGATGCCTTGATAGAATAATAATGGTAAAAAAGATTACATCAATTTTTTTCATAAAAAATTTTTTTTACTCATAAGTTATAAGGCTCTCAAATATATTTAAAATAATGTAAGCATCAACTTCCTCTAAATGTGAGCTTATTATTATATACAGTTTAGTTGAATTCCAAGCATTTTTTTTTTAAATTATGAAATTAATTATTTAATTGATTGTATTTAGTTATAGTTTATGGTTTAAATGACAGCTAGATTAAAGGCTAAGTATTAGGGAATTATTTAATAGCATGTACTTCAATAACTGTAGCAATTCCACTCAATTACTGTAGCAATTCCACTTAAACTGATATGCATGAAGCTGATGGAAATCCTAGGGCTGAGAATGACTGAGAAGGTTTAGTGAAATTAGAAGGGTTATTATAATGTGATTTATTATGTGGAGACATTAGCTTCTTTTCCCCACCCGTCCCTCCTTGGACATCGGAAGCCAGCTTCAAGCTGAGTAGCGGGAGGCACTTGTTGAGGCTGCTGCTGTGAGATGCTTTGAAGGAGGATTTCAGATAATAAATTTCTGAAATCTAGTTGTTGGAATTCAATAAAATGCTGAAGCTGGTTGTGCAGAAGAGTGGTGGAAACTGATGCAGGCTAAGTTGGTGTAACTGGGAGGGAAAGTGAAGAAAGGAGACTTAGGAGAAGAGAGGTCACATTGGTGTGATTGAAGAAAAACTTCTTTGAGGTAAACTTATAAGATTTTCATATAAATTATTATAATATTATTTGAATGTAAATTTGAATGTCATCAATCATGATTTAGATTGTATATAAAAGGAAAGGAGGCAAGGGTACTTTAGGAGAACGAACTGACCCGACTTCCCTAGAGAACGAGGTGAGATACCTAAACAAGATTATAAGAATTAGTAAATGTTTTCTTATTGCACTTCTTCTTGATTATGTTTATGATCACATGTATTCTAGTTTATTTTGGTTATTTTGTATGAATATGGTTGTATATGTATGAAATTGTTATGTAAAGGGTAATCTTTAGCGATATTAATGATTTCATAAGCATAAAAGGGTATATATTCAAAAACTAATGAATGAGCAAAAAGTGCAACCAAAGCGCAACCAAAGTGCAACCAAAGTGCAACTAAAGCGCAACAAAAGCACAACCAATACGCAACAAAAGTGCAACCAAAGCGCAACTAAAGTGCAACTAAAGTGCAACTAAAGGGCAGCAAAAGGGCAGCTAAAGCGCAACTATGTCATCAAAAGTATATGTCATTAGGGCTAAAAAGGATGACTATATAAAAGATGAAATAAGTTATATATGGGGGATTGGCCCGCACAAGGAAAGACGAATGACCTGATGAGGTAAGCCTACACTCTTAATTGTAGAAGTTGAGAAATTTGACTCAACCCTGAATGAGAGAACAGCTTCCATTCTAAAAGTTGGAAAGTTAGACCCAACCTTGATTTGGAAAGTTGAAAAGGTGCAAAAGCTTATAGCCATTATATAACTTATTTAAAGATGTGGAATAATTTTTGTAAGATAAATAATATGGTTATGCACTTTCAGGCTCAATATGACATTTCAATATGTTAACATTGTTAAGCATTTCTTATTTGTTTATTATTAATTCTTGTCTATTATTAGTGTATTTCATTAGGCAATAGCTCATTAACAGTGGTTGTACTGCAGGTAAGGGAAAGGAGCCCATAGGGCACTAGGCGAGAAAGAGGTGAACATCTATTCTTGATGTAAAGATGTTTTGGAGTACAAGGAGATCTGAATAATAGCTGTATAAACCTTTTGATATGTAAGTAAAGTTCAAAAGTTTTAGTAGAGCTCTGTAATTATTTTAATTATGTTGATGTTCAGTAAGTAATATTACATGCTTCCTGTTGTTAAGAAAGGAGTTTGATATGTTGAAATCCTTCTCTGTTATACTTCAGTTTGTGGTAGAGGGTGAGCCAAACTGGGGTGTGACAGAAATTGGTATCAGAGCCTAATTAAAATCAAATGGAAGCATATTTGGATTTATGTCATGAGGTAGGATGAAATATTATGAATCTGATATATACAGAGCTATAGGTTGAATCAAGTTTTAATAGAAATATGCATGACATTTAGTACAATAGCATATGTACATAACACGCTTAATTAATTAATGCTTATTAATATGAGTTGATATATTATATGAATTAATTATTTGCATACAGATAAATATGTCGGAGGAGTTGCCAGAAAGAATGACTGGACAGTCTTCCAGGCCAGATACAGAAACAGGAAGGCATGAGGGAAATAAGTCTAAAGAGCTTCAAGATGTTGTGCTTTTGATCTCACAAGTGGTAGATAAAATGACAGCTATGGAAAAATCTTCTACCAGCAGTGGACCCAGATTTGAAGCTACAGTGAAGTGGATTGACATTTAAAATTATTTTAGACTTTTAAACCGCCAGCATTTAAGGGTACTGGTGATCCAGCAGTGGCTGATGGCTGGTTGTTAAAGATTGGAAAGATTCTACATGGTATGATATGTCCTGAAAATAGAAAGATACCATTGGCTACATTTGTGCTAGAAGGAGAAGCAGAAAGATGGTGGCAAGCACAACATAGAGAAAAATTTAGACAGATGTCTCTCACCAGTATACATTGGGATGATTTTGTAAGGGCATTCAGAGACTGGTTTATTCCTCCTTCAGCCAGGCTGGCTCTGCAAGACAAATTCTTCAATCTTACTCAGGGGTCTATGACAGTTATGCAATACGAAGCTGAGTTCGCATCTTTGTCCCGATATGCGCCACACTATGTCAGCACCCAGGAGGAGAAGTGTCACAGATTTTTGAGAGGCCTGAGGGATCAGCTACGAATTACATTGGCGCCTTTTGATATCAATGAATTCTCAGTCTTAGTGGAGAGAGCCAGGAGAATTGAAAATGAGTTGAATTTTTCTAAGCATAGTCTGGAGCAGCAACCAATAGGCAAAAGGAAGATATTCGAAAGAGATGATCGATTCAAAAATATGAAGCCAAAGTTTGATGATAAACAAAAGCAAAGTCAGTTTGAAAAACCTTTATGTGAGCAGTGTGGGAAGCGACATTTTGGTCAGTGTTTGGTGGGATCCGGAAGATGTTTTAGATGCGATGAGATGGGTCATCGCAAGGTAGATTGCCCTAAAGAAAGAAGACTCAATATCAGGCCACAGGGATATCAGGGATATAAGGAACAGACACAACATAAGAGATATTTGGAAGGCAATCAGACAGGAAAAACTCAATTTCAAGGAAGGTCAAAAGTACAAGGAAGACCACCAGTTCAGCTTAAAGAAGAAGCATCAGATGTTAAAGGCAATCAACCTGTGAAGGCTAGAGTGTTTGTTATTACACCCCAAGAAGCTAAAGATTCAGAGGAGGTGGTGACAGGTATACTTTTGATTGCTAATAAGTTTGGCAGAGTTCTTTTT